CCCCCCCCCGTGCTGTGCCACCTCACCCCCACTCGCTCTCTGTCTCTCTCAAAATAAATAAACTTAAAAAACAAAAACAAAAACAACTTGAAGATTAGAAGTGCACTTGTCAGTGGCCCCAGTGCCTGCACTACTTCGGACCATTTAGCATGGGAAGGAGGGACCCCAGACTGGGAATATCAAGCTGTCAGTCACCCTATTGTAAGACACAGGCCTGCAGAATTAGGGAGCTCTTTGGCTGGAAGCACGTGCACCCGTGTTGAAAGCGCTCAGACCGTGACCCGGGACAGGCTTCCCCACCCTACGGTGGCTACGACAGCACGACAGAGCTAAGGACTCCCAGAGGCCGAGGTGACTCACGCCGTATCAGCAGATCTCGGAACCTGAGAGAAACCGCCATCTCTGCCACCTCCGCCACTGAGCTGGAGTCGGAGTGACCAGACAAAAGGAAGTCAAGGGGGCGGGCGCGAGGCCACCATGTTTGGCAAGGGCATTGATGCCGCAGCCTGACTGGCGGTGACGCCAGTATTTCCGCCATCTTTACTAAGGGCAACCGGAAATAGTTTTCTGAGTTCGCTGATTACAGTTTAGAAATGAGACCTTTGCCCCAGTAGGAACCTGGCCTGTTGCTGCCGGATAATTCATCAGGGGACTGTCTTATAATGATGGAAAAATTGGAAACAGCTGAAATGTTCAAGGACGTAATGGCAGAATAACTGCAGCGCTGCAACTTTGTAATCATGCCCTTGTACCATGTTAACTGGAAAGAAAAAAATTATCTAGTACTGAGTATAACCCACATAAGGGAATGAAAAGATAGACAACAGACCAGCCAACAATGGGCTGTCTGTGTAATCTGTTTGAGCTCTCACACCAACAACAGGTCGCACCATTTTTCACTGTATGCAAAGGAAACCGGAGCTTGGGGAAGGAAAGTCGCTAGTTCGTTATCTGGGCTTTAGGAGTAAAGAGGGGATTAATGTGGCTTTGAAGTTCATGTTCTTAAAATAATTTCTTTAAAAATAAAACCGGGGCGTCTAGGTAGCTCAACTGGTTGAGCAGCCGAATTTGGTTCAGGTCATGATCTCCCGGTTTGTGAGTTTGAGCCCAGCGTTGTGCTCTGTGCTGGCAGCTTGAGAGCTTGGACCCTGCTTCGGATTCTGTGTCTCCCTTTCTCTCTGCCCCTTCCCCGCTCATACTCTGTCTCTCTCTCTCTCTCTCAAAAATAAACATTAAAAAGAAATAAAAAAGTTTATGGCTGCAAGGAGACTGTAGTTTCTCCTTTCCAGATGCGGTCTGCAACACCCTGGTGAAGCAATTT